TATCAATTTGAATGAATATATATTACATATTGATATTAAATTTTGATACCAAATTCTTTGATACCAAAACACATTCAATCAAAATGCATGGATGCATTCTTTTTTTTCTTCAAAATTGATTTTTCACGAATTCGCGCATTCATGTATGTATGTATGTATGTGTGTATGTGTATCGCATGAATAGAAACAGTTTTCGTCTAGAAAAATATTGTTTTTAAACTGCAAACATAAAAGTAATAAAGAATTAGGATTATTTGTCATTTGAAGAGAGTTTAAAGGTTGTCAGAGAATAATTTTATACAATAATATGTCATTTGGTTCTAAAGTAGAATTTCAATTGTCATGTATGATTTTTCATTTCACAGATCTAAAGTAAAATCATTATATCCCGATTTCCGTATAAAATTATAGTTTGCTTTGTACATTTCATTATTCTCTTTTTTTTTTTTGTTTTTTTCTTTTTCTTTGTTGTTAAATCATGAATCTCGACGTCAATAAAGATTATGTGCACATATGTATGAGGGGCAGATCACACACGATGTTTTCATGTGATTAAATTATTTTCAGCCATATAATTATAATCGTTTCGTCGAATACGATTACATCGTAACATTCTACGATTATTTTTTAACATCGAACAACACGGAATCTCTAATATGATTTCTCTTCTTTAACACTGCTTAAATAGCATAATTTATTAAAACAGGAGGATAAGGGTTTTTAAACACGAAGATAGGGCCCATTCTTTTTAATTTTGGAATGTTTGTGCACGAAGCTTAATTTTTATGATTTCGATTATTTCTTTCCTTTTTTCTTTTTTTTTTTGTCGCGGGTAATAATTGTTTATGTTATTTTGATTTTGAAATTTACTCGATACATTTACAACAATCTTTCAAAAGTTTACGTTTTTTTCGAAACAGCAATAAAATTATAACATTCTTTACAATATTTGAAATATTGTGGAGTTAATACATATATTATTATCATTTCGTTGATCCGCCAATATGCTCTCACGATTAATAAAATCTGTCTGACTAGCAATAACAATGCTCTATCTGAGAGATGAGAAACGCCAATATATGTATTTGATTAAATTTTTTGAAGTAAACTGAATTGACTACGGTTTTCGATTCATATACAAAAAAACATCTTGATATAAGCTTATAATTTATAAATTCCGTTTTTTTTAACGGAATTAAACTTTCCTTTCTTCTTCGTCATTATGTTCCTTTTCTTCTTTATTATCTTCTTTATAATGAAAACATACGTTTGTTATTTGAACAAAAGAGAAATAAGTTTTAGATATTCAAGTTTCAAATAGAATAATGCTCATCTTGATGTATTAATACATAATTCGATTCGATGATTACAACAATTTCAATCTCATCGTAGTATTATATTTTACATTATGTCATGAAAACCTGTAATCAGCTCATTTTACATGAAGAAAGATGGATTGAGGATCGTCCACAATTTTCGATGATACGATTTACATCGTAACTAATGCCAACTTAGTAATTAAGATTGATTAAGATCCACATGATGCCATCAATGAAGAATCAAAACTTTTTGTACGTTGCTTGTACAATGGTATTATACGCGTATACTTCACTGGAACAAACGCGTGTAGAAATAAATCTATGATTTGATTCTTAACTGCTAGAAATTTTGATATGATGTAAGTGTGTGTAAGTTATATTCCTCATAGACTGTTTATAATAATTATTATTATTATTATTAATTATTATTATTTATTATTATTATTATAATTATTATTATTATTAATATTACCATTATTACTTTTTTTTGTATTTAAGAATACCATTTTATTTTCATTTATCATCTTTCTCGTTTAAACAGCAAATAGAATCAGGCGTATAGTTATATAATATAATACACTATTACAGTTTGTTTTTTTGTTTTTGTTCTTTTTTTAAATTAACCCCGCTTCCTCATGATCTTTTAGAAGTTCCATGGCATTCATAATTTTTTTTCCTTTTCTTTTTAATACTTGCTAGTCGTGGTGGGTACGTTACCATATGTATTTTTTTTTTTTTTTCATTTTCATTGCGTTCAGTGTGAGATCATCTTCGTAAAATATGACGAACATAAAGAAAACAACGAATATCGATATTTAGATACAGAGAGAAAGAGATGGAGTGATTGGTGGTATGAAGGATAATTATCTTGAAAATATATTTTTGAAAAAGATGGTTGTTCGTCACCGAATATTTTTCCAATCCGAATATTTTTTTTTTATACAAAGAATATATCGCACTAAATTCTTATCATGTCACATTGCTCAAAATAGTTCTTACAATAGACGAGGTAAAATTTCTAACGATTTACCGCAAAGGAAAGTTATCTTACTATTAATTTCAACAGAGTTTTATTTTGTTTCTTTCTTTCACTATCATTTCGTGTTTTGAATAAACACGTTTTACTTTTTTTTTTTTGCAAGATTTTAAAGTAATATTGTAACGTCAAAGGAACTGCAGCAAGCTTATTACAGAGTATATTCTTTCTTTTTTTCTGTTTTTTATACACATAATTTTTACTTTATGATCGAATAATAAATGGAAATCGATTCGCCTGTAAGAATTCTATAGCGTACGATTATTACTCGGATTCGATAATATCGATCATTAACTAACCTCAAAAAGTATGCATAGTAAACATCGTGTTTTTTTCTGAAATTCATATTTTTGTGTACCTATTATGTGTGTGTGTATGTGTTTATGTGTATGTGTGTATATGTGTATGTGTGTGATGTGTTTATCGCAACTTTTTGACTTACTCACTAAACAATTTGTTATTTTTATAAACAGCATTCATACCGCTAATCTATCTCTTAATAGTACGTAAATAAAAGAGAAAAAAAAGGAAATATAAACAAAAACGAAAACAGCGACACCTTGATTGATAAATCGATAGCAAAAATATACGAAGGTATTAAAAACCTATTTAGATACTAAATACTTGTATTAATCATCCCTATAAACTTATAATCGTATCTGCATGCACTCAGCATACCAATTCTGTAAGTAGTGTAATTTCATGAAATACACGTTATATCATATTAAAAATATTACACATTCCACAAATATTTATGAGGAAAAAAAAAAAATACATTTAATAACACCATTTTTTCATATCATTTAACAGTATGATAAAAATTTTTTTTCTTAATTTTTGAGATTCGATAAATAAATCCTAAAGAACGATTCGAAAAAGAATTCTAAATTTAGAATTAACGATTTGATTTATAATTTTTTTTCTTTAGAATTTTTTTATAGAGAAAATGTCTGTAATTGATTATCGAGAAACACAAGTATCAAGTTTAATTTATATGGAAAACAGGTTTGATATGAGTCAAGCAGATACAGACTATCTCGAACGTGCAAAAAAAAAACACATTATTTGTCGACATTCCATACGATAATAAATTAAATAAACATCTGACCATCGTTTGTTTGACGATGAATTTCACTAAATAAGAACATTATATATATATATATATATTATATACACGTGTTATGCATTGGTAAGAGTCATACATTATACAGTAGTATAGTTGAGTATAGAATAGGCTACAACTTATCATAAAATGGTTTGGTTGGACCTAACTATAATCAATATTTGCGATATTGGATATCTCACCTATAACATGAATTAATCTTTTGGGTCTATGAACATTTCTAGGCCCGAACGATAAAAAATGGACGGGTAGAAATAGAATAAAGTAGGAGAGAAAGGAAAAAAAAAAAAAAAGAGAAGAGAATT